CCCCCCGCTACCAAAACCTTGCCAGGCAGACGCATTACACTATTAAAGAACTATGTTTGGAACTAATTTTCCTCCAGCTGCCTAAGCTGCTGTGCAATTAATAGAATTTTATTTTCTACCCATATTTTTATCCTCTCTGGATCTTTTGCATTGTTTTTTGACTCTCATTGTTACTTGCAATAATTCTGTATTAATTGTTCCGTATTAATCTGTAAATTTAATGATTGCCTTGCTATTTATGTTGCCGTCCACACTGTGAGTAGAAATCCTGGCCTCACAGTAGTCAGAGAGGTTTAGCATGGGCTTCAATAGAGCTGGCATTTCAACTATTCAGTGACACTGACCGCTGTTTCACACCACTCGAGAACTCTGCAACTCATTATATCTCAGTTTTTAGAGGTTTATCTGCATGAAATGGGTGGTGGAGAGTCACTAGGACCAGCAGTGTTCAGTAACTTTGGGGTGCCAGACTCAGATGTGATTGGCAATTTGGGACTGCAAAGTCAAGCACCCCTGCAACTGGCCCATTTTTCTGCTCTTCACTCATCAGGGTGTCCTGTACCATAAATACCCAGGTCAGGAGCAGGCATAACTCATCCACTTGGCAATAAATCTGTAAGTCTGGTGACAAAGAGGCTGCTTACCAACCCGGGGAAAAAATACTAAGCCTTGCTATTTTTTGCATGTCCTTTGTATGCTTATGTCCTCTTCGCATCTCACTTGCTGATTGTGCAGTCTAGAGTGCCTCCTGACTTCATGTTCTGCATCATTTTGTATGCTTGTGCTAATCGGATATAAAATGTTGCAGTGCAGAATCATACCCTCCATCACAGTCCTAAAATTTAACAGCTGACAAAATTTTGTCACGGAGCAGTGGCTAAACTTAATTTTACTTTGAGAAAACTTAAGGCTGTATGATTTATCAGTATCGTATTATTTTAATGACCTTTTTTGGCTTTTTTTAGCAACATGCATCAGTGCTCAGATTCTTGTCAATTTTAACTAATTTTTCACCTAAAAGACACTGTATGAATTTTTTTATGGCAACCATGATATATTCCCTCCTATATTCTTTTTGACTGCTGGTTTTGTAATTCAGTCCAAAAAAACTATGTTAACTTTTAGTCTTTTTCCTTCCTTCTTTATAGGTCGTTTTTAAGATGAAGTTAAGTTAACCAGATGATTAAGTCTATAGCTTGTCATATCTGTCGTGTTCCAGACAAATATTGTAATTTTGAAAGATCTTTCTCATAAGACGTTATGTTTTTTGAAATGTTGTCAGTTAGACTGTAGGAGAGTATTCAAATATCCATTAATGCACATGGTAGAGGACCATTAAAAACCACCACTACACTGTGAGTGTTTTTAAGCTTCTTGTTTGTTCTTATGGAAAAAAACCTGAAGTAAATGAGTCTGAAAAAGAGGCAACATTTTAGTCAAAAACTGCTCCGTGATTCAGTCTTGCAAGAGCGTAGTCCCTGATCTTAATCTGAATGCAGAGATCCCTACAGCATGCAAGAGGAGCTGGACTAGGTACTCTATCTGCTAGTATTTAATTTCTTTTGTGTGCTGTTAGGCTAAAATAACTGGCATAATACATGATAGCTCTCCAGATTGTTACACTTTACATCTTTTTTGAAAGACAGCTATAGCGCAGATGTTTGTTTCCAGTCCACGGCTTTTCAGAAACAATTGTTAAGTCATTTAGTAAACTCATCAGTTAATTTCCACAGATGCATATCATCTGGATTTACTGATTTGCATACATTTAAATTTTTCCATGCCCGGCCTTTTTTTTCTGAAATGTTATAAAAACCTCCCACAACATTTGTTGTTATGTTGAGATACTTCTCAAAAGTGTCTTTGTCACACTTTGATAAAGGATTTCTCAGAAGTTTGTCTTTCATTTTCTGTGAGATTAATGGAATATTCAGGGAGAATTAAGGTGGACAAAATTCCTGGATATGCCTGTGGACGTATCTTTGCAATAGCCAGAGTGGGTGCAATAAATTGGATTTCAAAACAGCTTCTGTCCTGATTAGGCCTCCTTGAACATGTTATCTAAGATTATGGCTACTTTTTTTGCCCTTTCTTTCAGTAAAGGCAAGGACTTGCAGAAATAAACAGTGTTTAATGTTGTCTCCACTAATTCCACCAGGACCAACACAGATGTAAATACAAGTATTTGTAAATGCAGCAAAGGAATGAACCCTTAGCTGGAGCAGAGGATGGGACATCCTGTGGGCAGATCTGGAGTTTAAGTGCAGATCACATTGAACACTTCTAATCTCCCGCTTGCTGGTTTCTGGATCATGAATTTTTCCTCTGTATTATTTAGGGAGGCAGTCGATGAGGCACATTCAGCTGTATTTGTCATACACCAGATGTCAGGATAGTTAAAGTCACTCATGCTTCCTCTGTTTTTAAGCTCCTCAGCAGTTGGTCTGGGATAGTTTAAACATGCACACATGGGCGGGCACACACACAGACACACATACACACTCTGTCATTTACAAACTCCAGTGTATACTAAATATTTATATGATTTTCCATAATACCCATTCCTAGTGACTGGCAGCAAACACATTGGACAATACCCATGTATTTAACTGAACAGCTCCGGGTTATCACTAGAAATCTCAGGCTTTGCGAGTGTGTTTTGCCCTCTGCACTATTCCTTACCATCCCTTCGCCTTTTCTGCCCCACCACCAGTGACACCTGCTCCCCGCAAGCATATTTACAATGGCCATTCTAGTAGGTCTGAATGCCTTTTAAATAAAATGGACTGTCAGTGGGTTTGGTGATGACTCTGAACTGCACATCTCAGATGCGCTGTTTACCACTTAAGAGGTTTCACATGTGCTCATTAGTTGATTCTTTTCCTCTGTTCTTCAATTTTCTCAGACCAGATAGTAAATAATTCTCACACATAGTGCTCACAAGAGCCACTGTACATTTTTTTATGCTGCTGAACAGCAGCCAAATGCAGTGGTGACCACATTTCAGCACTGGGTGAAGGGAATCCTCTGCATACAGTCTGCAAGGACCCTTCAAAGTGGAGGGTGCTCAGCAAGTGTGGTCTATAATTTGCTGCCACCTAAACCTGTATTTTGACAAATGAGTGACACTTGCCCAAAAAAAAATTTGGGGATTCAGAAAAAAAAAAGAAAACCAGGACACCAAACCAAACCCATCCATTCTTTGCTTGCAGAATCTTTTTGTCTGAAGAGAGGGATGTTTTATTTGTACATACCTGAATGTATCTTTTTTGCCTTTTTCAATTCACTTAATGTATTTATCTTTCTGTCCCCTCTTCAGGCCACCTGTAGAAGACAGCCAAACCCTGCTGACACCAGTGGTGAGCTGCGGCCCACCAGGAGCCCTGCTAACCCGGCCCGTCATTTTAACAATGCACCACTGCGCAGAACCGAACACGGAAGACTGGCAGATTCAACTGAAGCACCAAGGTGCCCAGGGACCGTGGGAGGTGAGGCTGTGGAGCTGCAGCTTGTGTGCCAGCTGCATGCAGGGCTCTCTCTAGTCCTTCAGCTGTTTTTCCAAACGTGGATGCCTGTATTTTGGGATTTCCATGTGAGATGCATGGCTGCTACAGGCAGGCAGGAGTGCCCTTCAACGCTGGATGTCTAAGCTGCCCAGTGCCCATGCAGAGATGCTGTCTTGGGGCAGTTTGGTGCCTCCTAATTCTAGCTGTTTTCCACGAAATAGCCTTCTTTGCAGGATTTTGGCACTTGAGCTTTTGGTCGTGGTAGGATATCATGCTGAAGTGAGAAGGAAGGGAAAAGGCAAAATAAAAAACAGTGGCCAAAAATTATTTCTGACTTGACTCTAGAAATAAGAAAATGTTATTTACAAAATAGTTTTCACTTTCCTGGTTTATAGTCTGTTTTTAAGTGAAAATAATGCTGCAAGTACTCTCCTGCTTCAGCACCAAGACATTGTCCAGCTTAATAAAATGTATAGACCTTATCTTTCTCCTCTTTTTCCCTCCTGAGGTGTTGGTGGAGCATTGCTTTGATTAAGTTCGTTCAGCCAGGATCCAACTCTGCACCTTGTGAACTCAGGGGAGCTGCACAAGCATTGTTGGGCAGTGCGGACTTGGTGGGAGCCTGGGGTGGTTCCCTGCCAGTAGTGCAGCAGGAGGATGTCCCAGGGCAAAGTGGCAGAAGGATTGTGCATTGTAACTGGAGCATAAAGTGATGCTTTTGGCAAGGCTGGGCCATCCTGGCAGAGCCCTCCATTCTAGCCCTTTGCTCCTAGGTACCTGCTGCCACCAGTTTGGTCTCACATAATTAATTTGGCAAGGGCATTTTCTCCTACCGGTAGGTTTAATAAGGTCAGGGTGGCTTTTGAAGGCAGTTGGGCTGACAGCAGCAAGAGCACCATGTCCAGCATTGCCTTCGAAAGGCTCTTGCGTTGGTCGCCTACCTGTGGCACCGGCTCTTCCTCATGCTGGGAGGGAGTGTGCAGCGAACACGAGTCTGTCTCGCCAACTAATCTGCACCCCACCAGCCTGACTCTTGGCACCGCACATATGTTCCTTATTTGTGTCTGCATATTACTGGCACCTCTTCATTTTCTTCCCTGACCTCCTCCTGCCCTTGACAGAGCAGTTGCTCTACAGACCGTGCACATGCTGTGGTGGCAGCACAGCCTCCACAGCATCCACAGGGCCCATGGCCATCACACGGCAATCTTCCTCCACTCAATTCTGGAGCAGCTCCCCCGAGCTGAGCCCCACACATGCACGCACACATGCACACACACACTCATGTGTATTGCATGCGCATGCATGTGTGCACACTCCTGCAGCATCACAGCCAGAGCCAGTCGCTGGCATGGCCATAGGGGAGTGCAATCAGCACTGTAGCACCTTGCCCTCCAGAAGGATCCCTACAAACATGGCGCGTTTGCCTTCCCTGAGGCTAGGGGGCCTGAGCTTAACGTCAAATTTCAGTTGAGCCCACGCTGCTCAGCTGCCAGCTGTGTACATTGAGCTGGAGACCTGCAGGCAGCGGGGATGAAACAGATGAGTTGTGCTGAGCGTCATGTGGCGCTAGGTGGCTTTGCAAGAGGCAGCCGTCATCCTCTGCTGCCTTTTCGCTTCTGCTCTCTCTCAACGCCATTCAAAGCACCTTGTGTTGCGTGCAGGATATTACATGCAGGGTTGAATGGAGAAATTAGCAGGGGAGCTGTTTTCCTTTACGCACAGGGTGGAGAGGTTGCCTGCATTCAGACTGTATGTATTTTTTTTCTTCACCCTGCAATCTCATCGCAGAGGATTATTCCAATGAAGCAGCAGGTGATATTTCATGTAGATGTGTCATTTAGCCATCGCAGAGGTTACTTCCCTTCCTTGAGATTTTATAACTCCTTATTGTCGTGCTTAGGAGTGAAAGGGAGGTTATTTATTCAACACAGCTGCGACTACTAATGTTAAATCATGGTCACCAAATGATTAGTTCTGCAATATCTTTTTCAATAAAGTATTGGTGATATTTTCATTATTTGTCTAACTCTACCCAGGGCTTTAAAAGCTGCTGCAAGGCCCAGAGGAAAGAGTTACAAGTTTTGGGGGAGTAAAGACAGGAGGCGGTTTCTACCACCATCATCACCACCAGCACCCCAGAGAAGTCATCCCCTCCCTGTGCCTATGCACGAGAAAAGCCAGAAGAAGTAATTTTAAATCTTGATTAACCTAAGGTGCAAACAGCAAGGACTTTGTGCATTGTGCTTGAAAGAGGCATTACTGTCTCAAAGGAGAGCAGCTCTGAGGGGTCAGGAGCTCTAACTTGACCTCTTTCTCACTTAGGACGTGGTAGTGGTCGGGGAGGAAAACTTCACCACTCCGTGCTATATCCAGCTGGACCCAGAGGCCTGCCATATCCTGACAGAAACCCTCAGCACGTATGCCTTGGTGGGACAGTCCATCACCAAAGCAGCAGCCAAACGTCTCAAACTGGCCATCTTTGGACCGCTGTCCTGCTCTTCACTGGAGTACAGCATCCGGGTCTACTGCCTTGATGACACTCAGGATGCCCTTAAGGTAGTTGTTGCTCTCTTGCTTACTTTCCCTCTCCAGCTCTCACATGACTGCAGTCATAGCAGTGACTAGAGACTCTTCTCCCTGTATTCCCGCTCCCTGGGCTATTTTTCTGATTAGAAGAAGAGTTTGACAACAAGCTGCTGTTTTACAGTTTAACCCCCCCCATACACTGTAAATTGTCCTTTGTAAAGGGATCTTACACTATTTTCTGCCCACCAGTCTTTTTTCCTTTGTTTACCTGTATCATATCTTGAATCCTAAGGTTTCTGCATTATTAAAAGGCCATAAGGTACATGGGGCTTCATTCGTTATTCATGTATTTTTAATGCTAAGTGCCAGCTCCCCAGAGATGAGGAAACATATAAATGCTTCTTTGTAAATAGTTGATAATGATAAAAGAAGCTTCTGGGCTGTTAATCACTGCCTGCTTTCATACTGCTTTATTACACCTCTTCGTGTGCAGCTTTTTGTGTTGGGAATTCACAACTGAAATAAACCAAAGCTGTTGGTGTCTCTAACTATATAACCTTACTGTCACTGTGTAATTCTGCCATGCACACAAACACACTCTCACTACATACAGATGAGCAGATAGATACCCATACTTGCTATTTCTCTATATAAACACCTGTATTTATACAGATGGTATCTATAATAGATGCACTCATAAAATCTGTAGCTCCAACTGCACATGTAAGAATGGAGGTTATTGAAAGATGCGGGTTTTTTTCTTTAATCGTAGCCAGTTCAACTTCCCAAATGCCTCTTTGCAGCAAAACGAGTTCAAAGCCTGACTAAGCAGAGTCATCCTGGTGCTGTATATGTTTTTATTCCGTCAGCTCCATGTGGGAATGTTGGGATTTAAACCCACATAAACTGAATGGGAGATCTTTGTGTTTTTCAGAGCAGTGACTTTCATCACTGCAAATGACACGCTGTTTTCCTCCCCAATACTATCTGATATGAAGACCTGCCTGCCTAGGCTTCGCGGCAGGGATACTCTTTTTCTATATGTAAGAAAGGCAGTAAAGTATAAGGGTTGAAGTAGCCATATCGTGACTTCAGCATGGTTTTATCTGTACAGGGCCTGGGAGCTTGGTCTCTATGCATTGGTGTTATCAGGCTTTCAGTAAAAAATGTTTTCCCCAGTCTGATTTCCCTTTTGTTTGTCCTCTTTAAAAAAAGTGAAAAGGATCTTTCATAGCAGTCAAGCTTCAAAAGGCCTGATAGTTTTATGCCTGTGCTGTGTAATACAATTTTCCATGGGTTTGTCAAGGCCTGAGGTAATAATAAGTGAGTCGGAGAGGCCTTGGACAGGCAGCTAATGCAGTCAGAACTGGGGGAATCCAATTAGGTGTTACTCAAGAGCTGTTGGTTTGTTTCTAATAGACTGTGGGGAGAGTTGTGAGGTAAAGTTAATCTGATTCGGTGAGACAGCAGAAGAGATCAGGAGAGGCGCTGAGCAACGCAGAGGAACTGACCATCTTTCACCTGAGAAGCTGCAGCCAGCGTTTAGGAGGGGAGCAGGCCAGTCTTTGGCTTCTGCTGCAGGTAGACCCCAAAGCAAGCTTGTAATTTGGTGAGGGAAGGTGAGTGAAGTCAGGCGACCACCGTCCCACTTGTACCTACTGCTTTTTTACAGCAAAGTATGTGCATTTTAATTTTCTTCTTTTTTGGCACATCTACCCCAAGACAGGAAGGCCACCCATGGGGTTCCAGACCCAGCTAGCTGGTGGTTTACAGGAGGGCAAGCACACATACTTGCTGGCCATAAACTCATGAGGGTATCAATTGCACTTCTCTGGAAACGAAAGGTCTGAGGAAGGAGAATGTTTTAAGAAAAGTGAACCTAGTAAAGTTTAAGAAAAATGAACCAAGTCAACTAGCTGTAGATGAAGGGGTAGAGCATGGACCAGCCCTGTGCAATGGTGTTGACTGTGACTATTTAGAAAAAAAAAAGGGTTGGGGCGTTTGCTGTGAGCTTTCACAACAGCTGGCACCACAGCAGCCCCAGCCATGCCAGGAGGAGGTCCTTGGCACTGCCATATTGCCATAGGGAAGGCATTCACTGGGCAGTTTCCTCTGGCTGTGCAGGCCAAGGCATGCAGACAGGGCTGGGCCAGCAGGTCCTGAGGTTAAAAGTGACCTGGAGAGGGTGGGGAGGTTGTAGGCAGCAAGTGAGGCACCAGCTGCACCGTCTCAGTGTGTTGGGGCTGGCTGCTCCAGACAAGGCATAGCAAGGGGAGGGAAGAGCAGTGTGAGATGTTCCCACATTGGGATGTCTGAGGTTTGGAAGAGCCTTTGTAGGGGATTATGTGTTTATTCTAATAGACTACTGAATGTATTCTGTTATTATTTACAACTAGGAATGAGTATGCCATATGCTGAATGTGTCCTAACAGCCACCAAAGGAAGACAAGCAGTTGCAGCATAAAACACAGTGCAGTATTTATCCAGCGGGCTTTTCCCTCTCATCATGCGGAGTAAGCTCTCACTGCCGAACTGCTGGTGCCTGCAGTACAGTAGGGAAGCGTAATGACTTGTCATCAATAAGGGCTTAGTTATTGTGGATGTGGCTTGGCGGGGTTCCTGGGGGCTGTGGAGGAGTGGGCTCAGTGCTGATCACATGTGCGGCATCCTCTGCCCTGCAGGGTCTCAAGCCACCTGGATGGGATGCTCACAAAAACAGTTTTTGGGGAAGGGGGAGGGTAGCGACAACCTTGAGCACTAGCTTCCTTTTTGAGGCTGATTTTTGTACTTCGAGGGGATGCCCAAACTAGTCTGCTGTAAAAAAAAAAAAGAAAAAAAGACAAAAAGAAATAATATGATAACTCTAAAGAAATCCAGCTGCTTTATTCTCATCTTTATTCATGTATGGCTTTGACATTCAGGTATGTGAGCTGTGTGTGGTGGGGGCAGAGCAGCCTTGCACACCGGGGGCGAGTGAATTATTTCAGGCTGTAGCAGGGTGGCATCCCTGAACCTGCCTCATGCTGTGCAGCAACTGTCCTCCAAAACAAAGAAAAAAAAAAAAAAAGGCATAGCAGGCATGTGATCTTCTCTGGGTTATTTAATGCTTATTTTTCCTTTTAATGAAGAACGGTAACAGTTTAGACTGAACACTGTTGCTTGCTTGTGCCCTGTTAATGAGGAAGCCCTTTCCAAATACAGGTTATGGCTGTTCTGCTGGCACTGATGATGGAGTGATGCCTTACACAGCTCCCTCTCCTAGGAAGAGCATAAGGGCGTAAGTCCTGGCTCACAGGGGTGGTGAGAGGCAATGGGGAGCGTGGCCGGAGCCACCTCAGCAGGGGGCAAGCCACACACAGCTCAGATTTTGGCTCAGGAGGGCATGGAGGTTCCAGCCAGCAGGATAAGCACGGCTCTAAATAAAATGCCGTATGGCTAGAGCCAGTCTGCAGGTTTGAAGGGCTGTGAAAATCATGGCTCCAAATTAATTAGCTGAGTGGCATGCGAGAAGCATGGGCTGCCTGGCGTCCTCCAGTTGGAGCATGTAGGGTGGCTACAGTGACCAAGAGTGGTTACCAGAAGTGGATATTGATCTGGTGGGTGGGATGATGCAGCATCATGCTGCAATGTTTTTCTCCACACTAGTGCAGCTCCCAGGGCTGGTGCTGCATGAGCAGGAACAGTCATTTGGCCCCCGCTCCCTGCGTGCCTGAGAGGTGGTGTCTGCAATTAGCTCACACAGTGCCGCGCGTCGTCTTCTGGCCCTTCCAGGGAGGTAATTTGGACATAATGAAGATCTATAGTAATCAGATAATTACTATCGATTGCACTTTAGACATCTTGACGAGGTAATTAGGGGGCACTGGAAAGAAGCTGGAACTGATTCAGTGGCATAACCTTAATTTAAAAGGTTTCCTGATTTTGTTTCTTTTCCTCTAATGGATGATAAACAAACGTCATTGTAGCTTCAGGATTTTCCAGGTGCTGGGACAGGGGCTTTTCTTGTATGCTAACTAGATCCTGAATGAATCAAGAGTAGTTTGTTTTGTACTTAGCTAAAACCAAGGCTCCCTTATTTGGCCTGGGGTAGCATCCCAGGTTTCATGTGCCTGTGTACTCCTTGAGTATACTTACTCTGTGCGTGATTGGCTTTGGCTGCATGAGACTGCCTGGTTGGTTGGCTCTTGTAATTAAATATGATTGAGATTGGCTGGGTTGGTTTCTAATGGGGCTCATGTAGGGGCCTTTGTACTTGCTTCTTCCATGTGGAATACAGTTACGCTGTTTGTAGGCAATGATCCACTCATTAGTTACGGGCATATATTTAGTTTTAGTTGCATAAAATGACCAGACCCTTGGCTGACTAGCTTTTAATTACAAGATCACTATTTCAGTGACCCCGATGATATGTACAAAATGCTCCATCACAGTGTCTGGCATTGTTTTGATCCCATCCCGCTTGACGGTTGGTGTCAGGTTAGGCATCAGTTATCTCCTGGACTGCTCTGTCATAAAGCAGTTTGCCAGGAGGCCACAAGCTGAAGGACCAGTGTTATACACATGTCCCATATCAGCAGGACCTACACAAATAAGAGCTTCCAAAACCAAAATAGTACAGCTACCATTAGATGCCCAGTTCAATGAGCAATGGAGAAGACTGATATATTTCTATATTCAAAACAGTGTCTGTATGCAAAGTCTTCACATTCAATATAATAGCAGGCAATTAAGCTTTCTGCTTATAGGACATATTTCTGCTTATAGTACAACACTGTGTCTCCCAAAGAAGACATGGGTGCCTGCATCCTTGCTGGGCTGCTGCTGTATGAAGGGGGCAAGGGGGTTACATTCAGATCCACTAATGCAATTCCAGCTTGCAGGGAAACACAACTCTGAGCAGTGCCTGCGTTTTTTTTTTCTGTGTTACACAAGTTACAATGTCTACAGCAGTAGATCTTGAGGAATCAGAAGACCGGTGTGCTGTCTTGATAAAACCTGACTACTTTCTTCTTTTTATCACAATACTGCAGGAGGTCCTCCAGCTTGAGCGGCAGATGGGCGGGCAGCTTTTGGAGGAGCCCAAAGCTTTGCATTTTAAGGGAAGCACCCACAACCTCCGCCTGTCCATTCATGACATTGCCCACTCTCTCTGGAAGAGCAAAGTGCTGGCTAAATACCAGGTGAGCATCACAAACGATTCACATTGGATCCTAGCAGTAAGTCTTAAAGAAAAACAGTGACATAAAGGAGTGTTTAAAAAATGTCAGGTACCAGGCTGCAGTGCCATTGACTTTTTTTTCCTTGAACTATTTGCAGTGATGGAAGCATGGATCCCATGATCTCTGGTCATACCACGTCCACACCCTTGTCCCACATCCCTCCTTGACTATACTTTTTTCCTCCTGCAGGAGATTCCATTTTACCACATCTGGAGTGGATGCCAGAGAAACCTGCATTGCACCTTCACGCTGGAGAGGTTCAGCCTGAATACCCTGGAGCTGGTGTGTAAGCTCTGCGTACGGCAGGTCGAAGGAGAAGGGCAGATCTTCCAGCTGAACTGCTCTGTCTCAGAGGTAAATGACATTGGTGTACTTCTCTATCCGACTGCAGGAACATGGGAGGGTTAAGGAGGTATATCCATTGCTACCGGTTTAGTGTTTCCCATTTTCCCCCTGGCTGCTAGGATGGACATAAGGGACAGATTAAGTCATTGCTTTGTATCTCCTGTTGAATTTTTCCTTAGTTTCTCTGATCTGGAAGGGAGCATCTCCATCTTTCAAGGGAGGGAGGAGGGCAGCTATGGTCTCCCTGCTAGTGCTGCCTTTCTGTGTCTGTGTGGAGGAGCTCTTTGCCTACCACTCCCTAACACATCTCGTGAAGCACTGCATGGTCCTGTTTCCTGGCAGTCCACAAAACTATCATGCCAAACATTTCCCTGTAGAAGGAGAAAGGAGAATAGGAAAATGTCATTGAGCCACTCCACTCAGATCCCACATAATAACTGCTGTGCAAGAGGGAGTATCAGATGGTCTAGTTGCAATAGACTTTTCTCCTCAGATTTTGCTACTGCTACAAATCCTGACTATTCAACAATTTTTCTTTTGACAGCTGACAATTTCCTGTAGAAAAATCAACATAAGTTTTGGAACATCTTTGCTGATGCTACGTAGCATCTGGAGATTTTTTGCTTCTTGGGGCAATCAAGCTTAGGGCTGAGACCAAGAAACATGTTCAGGTGTGAAGTGGCATTGACTTCAGTGAATGTGCTGGTGGCTTTTGTGCCTGGTACCCTTGACATCTATGAAGAGCAGTCTCTCGGGCAGCAACCGCTGCAGGCTGACTTGGGGAAAGGCTAGGAGACCACAGACGAAAGCTACTAGTGCTGTAGGGCCCCGACGGTGCGCGCCATTACCCATAACATCTGCTTGCTTATTGGGTATAAAGTTACATATTCAGCTGGGGACTACACAGCATTAAAGACAGATGGTAAAACAAGTATCATAAACAATTATTGTAATAAGTGCTGCATTGAGGTGATCTCTAATTTAACCTCGCAGAGAAGAGAAAGAACTGAGAGTAACTTTAATGAAATGCAAGTATACACTGTAATCATCTTCAGCTGCTTGTGTGTAATAGGGCCTGGTAATGGATTCAGAGGGAACAGGATAATATTCTTGTCTTGTGCCATGATCCCATCCATCAGGGATGAATAGAGAGAGGGAATAATACTGCCGCCATCAAGGCTGCCTACTGCAAAATTGCTCCTCCTGGTTGACATGTAGTGATGTTCCTGAGCCCAAGTGAGGGGCAGGAGGACCTTGGGATGCTAAGGGTTGGCATACAGGGTTGTGTTAACTTGTGTTACTAGAAAAAAAAACTCTAAAAGTCACCTGATGACAAAAGTTGCCTGGAAACCAATGTATATGCCTCTAGAGGCCTGAGAGGAAGGGGTTATTGTGATAAAGACACCAGACTAGGCATCAGGAAACCGTATCTGTCATTCCTCACACTTTCTTCTGGTAACTAACTGGGTCATGTAAGGGCGTGTTTTGGTCTCTGCTTTCAGATGGCGTCTGGCTTGGTTTGCTTCTGGTGATTTCAAATTGCGCACGTTATTTGCTTCTTGTGGGGGAGGCAGGCAGGCTTCTTGTGGGAGAGGCTGGTGGATAGGTATTGCAGGACCATGCCAGTGCCTTTCTTCATTGCTGGATCTCCTCTGTCACCCTGTGGTAAAAATATACTAACAGTTTCCTGCATCGTCCCTTTATGGGCTTTCTTTTTTGTCCTCTATAAAGGATGTAAAACTTCTGCAGATTAAACTGTCTTATTCTGGCTTTATACAGTATCCACCACTGGGACTTCAAAAATACAAAAGCAATGAATGACAAAACATGCAAATTTGTGAGGCAAGAGGAGGAGTGAGATAAAGGTCTCCCACCATTTGTTTTTAAAACCCCCTTTTTATCTTGTGCTGTCAGCACTCACCTGGAAGGCACTTCCACGGATACCTGGGCTCCCTCTGCAGCCACCCTGGTGCACCTGGGGCAGCAGGCCACCTTGAGAGCCAGGGCAATGCTGCCTCGGTGTGTTGCTTCTATCCCAGAATAAAAAGGGAAGGTTGTCCATCTGCGATGCCACCAGTCACCACCCTACAGCTGCTTCTGAGCTGCCAGCATGAGGGACCCTGAAGGCAGCAGCAGTGGCAAGCGAGTCATTTCACTGGCTCCTGGGCAGCCCCTGCTGCCAGGCAGTTAGAGGACAGTAGCTTATTATCTGGAGTGGTGAGGTTGGGGTGCCGATCTGCGATGCAGGGCCTTGGCGCCCAAGTGGGGATGCCATATTCGACTCTGCTTTGGGCATGTTGACTGAGGCCATTACGGTGTGGCATAAACCTTTCTTGGTTAGCAATTTCACTGATTGCCTAAAATTCCAATTTAAAAAAAAAAAAAAAAAAAAAAGAATGCAAAAAAAGAGGGTGTTTTTATATAGTGGAAGAGAATTAATTGATGTGGCTAAAGAGTGGAGGTAAAAGAGGTTTAATTCTATTCATTGCTCATGTATACTCGCTCTCCCTGTTCTGTCTCTGCATATATTTTGGGGGGGGAAACCAAAGACTGTCTGTGACTGTGTACATCTCCAACAAGCTTCCCAGGGGATTTGCAATGGCAGCTTAAGCCAGGCATTACCTGATTTTGAGGCAGTTTAGGTTTTAAGGGTCTTCCCTGCAGCCAGCTTGACATAAAGCAACAAGAGAGCTCACAGAGGAGAAAACAAACTGACATTTAATGACGATTCTTTTTCACGGGTGTTTATGGCTGCCCAGGGTTGTGACTTGGGCAGAGGTGAAGATGAAGCAGCCCAGCCTCAGGCCTGTCATGCTGCAAAGGAGAGCAATTGAGAAGGCAGATGAGAGGCAAGAAAGGAGACCCAGCCCTGCTTGCTGCTTTTTTCCATCACATGCTTTGGTAGCTGGAGGTGACAAGTGCTGTGCGTGGGAGCAGCGCCCCTGCTGCATGGTTGGGCGGCCAGTCAGCATTGATGGGCTTTGGTGGGGCTTTCAGCCACCTTGCAGCACCTCATCGTTCCTAAGCAAACCCAGACATCCAAGTTGACCAACTACCCTTGTCCTACCAGCTACTGAGCCCCTCTTTCTGCCTGCCTGTGGGTGCTGAATACTCCCAGGCTAAGGAAGAGCCAAAATCCTTGCCCAGAAGAGCCAACCATTTGCTATTCCCAGCAAGGCCACGTTACAGCTGTGTCACGGGAAGCCTCCCAGCTGGGCAAATCGCATCAGAAAGCATCAAACCTGTACCCTCAGGGGACAGGCTGGCTTTGGAAATGATTTTTCCTTTGAAACACTGCTGCCACCACCTTTGAGTGCAGTGCTGGTCTTGAGGAGGAGAGCGACACACATGTTGTATCTGTCTCCAGCACAGAGTTAAAGCCCCATGAAAATGAGGGATCAGCTTGTGCCTGGGGCAGCATTAACCATCTCTCCGTGGTCTGGCCACCATCAGAGGCTTCAGAGAGCATGGGTGATGTCAAAGGGATGTCAGCAGTGCGAGCCTGGTGCTGGCTTTGTGTGGGGTAAGGGGCTTGTGAGGGGCCTGCTGGGAAGGGGGTCTTGCCAGCCAGTCTGGGAAAGCCCTGTTCTGCCCTAGTAGTAACAATTTCCTCCAAAATGTATCAAAGTGCCTGATCTTTTATTATTTCCAGTAAGTGATTAATTAAGCTGGGTTAAATTTTGTCCAGCTGTGGCAATCTTCACCCTCAGAAAAAAAAAGAAAATGAAAAAAAAAGTCTGCTGTCTACTCAAAGTCAGTTATAAATATTTCTCTTTTTCAGCTGACTAACATGAAAGCTTGATTAGCAGAGGGCTGCTCCCCTCTAATGCAAGTAAAGGAAGTAAAAGCACTGAGTCTTAGAGGATACAATCCTGTAATCAACTCTGCACTCATTAACAAAACTGCGTTGTTTTCTTTTTTATTATTTTTGGTTTTTGCTTTCTTTCCAACCTCAGGAACCTGCTGGCATTGATTATCCTCCTATGGACTCAGCAGGCACCATCACCACCATAGTAGGGCCCAGCGCTTTCAGCATCCCCCTCCCGATAAGGCAGAAGCTGTGCAGCAGCCTGGACGCGCCCCAGACCAGGGGCCACGACTGGCGGATGCTGGCCCACAAGCTGAAACTGGACAGGTGAGCAGGGCTGCCTATGTGTGACTGGGCAGCAAAGCCTCCCAAGAGGTATGTGTAAAAGGGTCCTGGTGAAGATGAGTGACAGCAGTGTCTACAGACTGGTGAGACTGACTACAAAGGAGATGAACACCTTGACAGCACCAGCAACGGGGATGGGTTGAAATCATATAAATTCAGGTAGCCTTCATGCAGCTTGAAAAACAAGTTTCCTTTTGGCTTGTTACAGGTACCTGAATTATTTTGCTACGAAATCGAGTCCCACTGGGGTGATCCTGGATCTCTGGGAAGCCCAGAATTTCCCTGATGGCAACCTGAGCATGCTGGCAGCAGTTCTTGAAGACATGGGAAGACATGAAACCATTGTTTCTTTGGCAGCAGAAGGAAATTACTGATGCAGCCTTGGCGTGAACAAGAAGGACAGATGCAGGGAGCGGTAGTGCCCTGTTACTACAAACGAGAATTGAAATGAAAACCCAGACCAATGAGTTACACAAGAGACAATTTACAGAAGAAGGCAAGCAAACAAACAAAAAAAAAACCAGCCCTGACCTTCACATGTGCTCTCCTTGTACATTATCACAGGATCTAAAAGAAATCATGCTAAGTTGTACCTTGAAAATATAAATCAACCTGATGTTCCTCTCGGCTTGGCTGTACACTGCTTGGTACAGGATTTTACAGTTTCCTAGGAAACGCTTTTTATTGCTATCCAGATATATGGATAAACTTTCTTAACAATCCCAGTTTCTATGGATGTTGTTTACATCAAATTCTGGACAGGGGTAAGGAGACTGTCCACGGCTCTTTATATTTTTTGTTTAAAGCCATTCTAGACAAGGCTGTGGACAGTTGGTTGTGGCTATTTCAGCTTATTGGTTTCTGGTGAATTCAGATTTTGGCTACAATTCTGCACATCGATTGTCTCACAATGATCCTCCTGTCATTGTTCTGTTTCCTAGACCTACTTGTAAAAAAAAAAAAAAAACCAAAACCAAGAAAGTCAGAGTTTAAGAGGTATGCATCTGGAAAGCAGGTACTCTGGGTGCTAAGCAGGAACACATGCAATGTCCCCTTTCTTGCCCAATGGAGTCCAACTGAGCCTGTGTGGAAATAGCTGTAGGACAGTAGGGAACGTAGGATCAGAGTTAATTTTCAATTCGCAATGTAACAACACCCTTTCCACTCCTTTGCTATATGAGGGGGCCAGATATGCAATTCAGAGTGGTTAGGGGGTAAAAAAAAAGAAACCCAGAAAAAAAATTAAAAAAGAGAAGTTGCTATGATAATTATTTACTAATTAGTATCTAGCGCAGGGATTATAATTATTATTATTATTATTATTACCATTGTTACTTATTTCTAATTTTGTCAGCAGCAGAATGAATCATTCCTGTTCTTATGGAACCTGTTGTCCTCTTCCTGAAGGTCTTCTAAGACATGTCCCTCTATATGCTGTCTGTCCTTCCCTTCTCCAGCCATCATACTCCACCTCCAAAGTCCTCTGCTAGCCCACATGGGTTGTTCACCTCATGTTAGCATTGCTGTGCTTCGTGCCTGATGGCAGAGATGGTGTAAATTGGTGATACTCCACTGAAGTCACTGATCTGCACCCACAAAGGATCCAACTCAGTATCCCTCCCTGGGATGTTTTGCACCACCTTGGTACCTCCAGATTACTCCAAGAAGCAATCCTGTCCTGAGGTGGCTGTGAACCAGTGACAGCCTCCTAATCCAAATACCCATAGCCCACTGGTTCAGGAGCATGGGTGCATGTGGAGGCACTGACGATGACCACCTGATTTGTACATCCAGGGTGGGCGTCTGCATGTCTTGCTTTTCTTTGAAGTGGTCTGAGAGCCAGCAGGTCCCATTAGCTTCCCATGGAGCTGCAGGTACTCACTCTTACTAAACCCACCACCTCCCATAATATTTGTGGTGGTCAGGGCTACTGGGAGTCCTCTGTTGGGTCATTTCTGGGTGAGATGCACTCGGAGGATCTTGGCAGATATTCCCAGGCTTGCTGCAGCCAGGGAAGCCTCTGCCGAGTAGGCCAGTGTAAGGTGATGGAGTGGTGAGGTTGAAACCCTTTGCCTTCGCTGTGCTCCTGTTGCTGCCGCCTGGGCAGGGTGGTGCAGGATCCTCGCTGCCTGACCAGGGGGATGTTTGTCCCTCTCAGCCATGTCCCTCTTGGCCACCAGAAACAGGTGAAGTAGGAACTTTTGGCATAAGGAGCGAACTCTTGCTTTTTCGGTTGTCAGTGCAAACATATTTTATTTTCTGCTCAGTGAAAGGACTCTTTGGTACACAAGAGTGCGTCAGATCGCAGTAGTTTTACTGGCAGGCTTGTCCAACCCCTATGTTTGGTGCAAAAAAAGGCGTTCTTCCCCAGCCTATCCCCTCCAGGTTTCCAGCCAGGCCCTTGTTATTGCTGTTGTGCATGCACGCATGCCCCTACCCACACACGTATTCCCACTCCATGTGCTTCCCAAGACCAGATCTGGCTTGTTTTCTTTCATGTTTTTTGGTTTTGTTTTCCCCAAGGCTTTCCAGATTGTGCCTTTAAAGGTAACTTTGAAAATGTCATCGGTCAAATTGAAAGGAAAATTTCATCAGACCTTTTTCCCATTTGACATTTCCGTAGGCTGGGACTTTTTGGTTTTAATTTCTCAGCTCCCTGACACGAGCAGGGTTTTGACTGACAGCTAGGCAGCAATCACAAAACACTCCTTTCCTCAGAAGAGGTAACCTGGCAGTCTGCAAACCAGCATTTCAGTCAAAACCAGAGACTGGAGGACAGACATTTTAACTTTCAACATCTGTCTGCATTTTGCTTGCATCAGCTCCACCTTCTCTTAACGTGAAGATGCCAAGGGCATCCTTCCAACAAACAACCGTCTTCTCTTTCACCTTGGGCATCTATGCAGCCCATTGCAATGCTAATGGAAATCTTGCTTTCAACTTCAGGAGGCTTTGACTGGGACTTGCAGCTCTGCCCTTTCCCCACATTTTTTGATGCACCTTGGAGTGCTAAAATGGCTCTTTTACAAGATAAGTCTCAGCTCTTCTTCCTCCTCTTCAGGTGTAACCAGTTGTATTTATTTCATGCTTCTTCACCCTTCCCACGTGTCCTTCCTGCGTGACTCCTCTTCAAAGGCGGGTGCATGAACTGACCTGTCCTTTGACCCCTTCCCTTCTTCAGCTCAGTCTTTCTTAGCTGATACCTAGGGTCATTGGTGCTCACGGCTCACAGCTTCTGCTAGGTGGGCAGTGTGTGCACTCTTCTTACCAGGGCCTTAACAGAAAGTGTCTCATAGTTACCTGTATTGCTGTGAGTTGATGCTCCTTTTGCCATGTCTCTGATCTACCCCTCGATGCCTCCTCCATCAAGAAAAACAGATGAGCAATTTTCTTAAAGTATTTGGGGGGCATGTTCTTTTTACAGCATTACTGTAAAGGGGATTTATTGAGAGGAAACACATGCTGTAATTAAGAGGATCATCCACAGAGGTGGACGGAGCTCAAGAACATCGCTGCCAACTAGGGCAGTGGCATCACTGGTGTTGGGAGGTGGAGCTGCTCTTCTTCCACCCAAATGCCTCAGAAAGCTTCCCTTGCCTGCTGCACTCACAGGCTGGATGGTTTCTCCAGCACCTGCTCCATCAGCATTTGTGGGGTCCCAGCACGGCACCATGACAGCTGCCTCAGCCCTGACAGGGCAGGGAGGAGCAGGGGCTGCCAAGGACTGGGACGGTTCTTCCACAGAGCCACACTTCATCCCAGCAGCTCCACGCTCGTGCTTTGCCACCACTGCTAACTGCAGCGCCCACCTCGCCCGGTGCTCCCCCTGCATTCATTTGTCTCTTTTTTGGTTTTTTTGGTTTTTTTTTCCAGGGGTATGGCAGTGGCAGGGCATGCGGCTGGGGAGAGAGCTCTGGCAGGGGCCAGTGGTACACATCCCTCAGCATCCCCTCCTGCTGCCCCAAGGAGAGAGGGTGGGAAGCAGGGGCGGCCAGATACATTCGGGATATTGTTTTTTGGTGGGAGAATAAGCCAACAGCAGCCCCTCGGCCTGGATTGCGTGGACACAGTGCCATCTCGTGGGGCTGAGCCCCCCGCTCCAACACGCTGCTGCCACCACAGCAAGCAGCATCGCTTGGGAAAAGGCTTTCCCTGGGGCGGCTCTTGAAAATGGCAAATAAGTTTGGCAGACAGAACCGACTCTTAAAATTTATTGTAACATTTTATGTCAGGTAAACACATCTGATTTAAAAAAAAAGAATGGCTGCAGGCTTCTTATCCTCTAGTTATTACTACTTTTTTAAATGCTTATCCTTTTAGTTGTCCACCTTCGGCTATGTGCTGTAGCAGTTTTGCTGCCCTTTCATGCCGTCTCTTCATTACATGTTGATTGCTAGTGCTATAAACAATATATATATATGATATAAATATATACAAAGTATCTACTGACTTCAAGGAAAACCTTTGATTTCCAAGTAAGAAACACTATGGGAGGCAGTCCTTTTTGCCTGATTTTTTTTTTTTTTTCAGTTCTTCTTGTGTTGTGTTCTTGTAAAGGTGGCTGTCAGTGTATAGGGTAAGTTTGGGGTTTGGTTGGTTTTTTTTTTTTCTCCCGAATTTTCTGATCACAGCTGATCCACTGTATCTCACTAAACACTGCAAGACCTAAGTGCTATTTTATTGATCTCAAAAGTTTTGAGGCAGTGAGGGTCTCTTCAGTCAAGATTTCCTTCCATGGGAGACCAAGACTTTTTTTTTTTTTTTTCCATATCATTGGCAGAAATGCAGACACTCATGAGACATGTTGGAATCTGGGATGCTCACAGAGTGAAACATGTCTGTTCCTTGGGTTTCTTGCTATTTCTGTTGCTTACATATAAAATAAATTTATTTACATGCTGTAAAGCCTGTCATTGTGGACAGTGTCCTAATGTCTTGTATTGCTACCTACAATAGTTTCTTTTTGGTTCTCCTGTTCTTCTTGTTTTGGGGGGGGTGGGGGGATGGGAAGGGGTGTGGGGGACTTAGATCATTCTGTGCTCTAGCCAAGTAGTTACCACAGCTCTGAGGTTGATTTTAAAAAAGGTGAGACTGTTGAGGTTGGGGTTTTTTTTTTAATCTCGTGTCTAGGGCACTTTGTAAACTATCTTACTGAGTGGTCAGAAGTCTTTTCAGGTATTACTCTGGCTCTTGTCTGGCAACGCAGTAACTAATTGTTTGCAGGCTGGCTTGCTTAATATGAGGCAGTGCAAAGATGTGAGTGGTTTGTGAATGGAAACCAAATCTTTGGCCCTTCTCCCACAAGGACTCCAGTGAAGTACTGACTGTGGGGTCACCACCACAATCCTTTCCTAGCTTGTGTGTGAAACCTTGAGTTCATAAAACGAGCTGCACTGCAGATTTTTAAAAGCTGAAGCATGTATCTCAGATATCGTTTGAAGTGGGAATTTAACAGAAATGCAAAGTGTGTGTCTACATACTTACAGAGAGGAGAAAATAAAGCATACCTACTGCTGGAGGCTTTTAGTGCTGATGTGAGCTGTGGGCATCCTCTTATGACCAACTTTTGCTTGGGAAGGTGAAGGTCAAAATTTAGTGCTGTATCATCAATACAAGATCAAATAGTCAGTACATCAAGAGCCAACAGAATAAAAACTGGCAAGGAACTAGAGTTGGACTTGAACCAAAGCCACAGAAATGAGCCCTCAAGTTTGGTAGGTCAAGCTCCTCACTTGAAATAGGAGCTTTTAGTTTATTTACTTTCTTGTCCTTTAAGCTTGACACCTGTTCCCTGAAATCTGAAAATCCCTTTATCTGAAAGTCCTTTGATAAGCTCTGCCTGTACGAAAAAGCAAT